TATTCACCACTCGGAGCCCACATTGAGTTATAGATGTCCTCTTGTTTTTTGGACTTTTTCTGTTTGCCTTCTACCCTTGTGGACCTTACTTTGTTGCTAGCTAGTACCTCTTTGAGACTATAGTCCAATGTACCGACCTCATTTTGAATAAGTGTGTTTATTCTTGTCTCTTGTTTATGCTCAACTAAGTTATTACTACTCTTCTGTTCTTCGAGGCTTCTTTTATGAGAGCTGCTATTGTTGTTGCAAGTTGTGTTGTTACTATAATTTTCAGATATAATTACAGGTTTTGTAAAACTAATTTCCATATCAGTGGGACTTGGATTAAGATTATTGTCTTCTTTCTGTATTATCTCTATACTATTGCTTTGTCCCAGTAAAATTTTCTCCTCATTAGATAGTATATTCTGCTTAAACTCCTTGTTTCAGGCCCAATTATACCTATCAACAACCTCTCGTAAAGCTGCTATAAAAAGTACATCTTTACAACCTAAAAAGTCTGCAATATGACTGTCCTGTTCAACTAAGGTTGCTTTTTGTTTCTTATATAATACTAGTTTCTCCTCATCGGTTTGGTTAAAGAAATTTCTGTACTTCCAGAGTGCTAGCATTGCTTCTTTCACGTGATTTGCATACTGGTATGTTGCTTAATATAACTCTTTAACTTTGGCTTAAGCTCTAATTAAGTCACGTGTTTTACGTGTTTTTACGTGTTTTTAACATGTCTTTACGTGAAATATAGGTTGTTGATTTTGTGTATCTTTGTGTGTCTTTGTGCGAAAATCTTGTGTTACACCAAAGATCTACACTACAGGGTTAATGCTATTTTCTCTAAAATTAAAAAAGCGAGCAACGTTTTTTAAAAAAACTAGAGTGTCTTTGTGTTTCAGCACTTCTATGTCAATAAATATTGTATTTGACGTTATATCTAGGCTTCTTCTAATGCTGAACTGACTTTTATTGTTTATACAATCTTCTGTTAGATTTTGTCACGTTCAGCTTTTGAAATCACTCTCGCTGTGTTTTTGGAGTTTTGCTCTTTTTTTACTTGCAAGTCGACTAGCTATTGTGAAACTACCTTGTGTCTATGTCTTTTTTGTCACCTGCTAGTATTTATCACTATTATGTTGCCTTAAAAATTAGAAAACAGATGCTTTTTCTTCTTACTACTTTTTGTGCCAAGTGATCATCAGGAAAAGTGATGTAAGATAAGATGATATATACAAATTAATTAATTAATAAAATACTTTTAAAAATATATACAAATAATATATACAAATAATATATATTTACAAAGAAAAAACTTCTCTATATACAACATTTTTGGTATATACCCCCTCTTTGCCTTCTACATGACCATTTTTAACCAAGACTTTAATATTATCTTTTGATTGAACTCTTGACAAAGCTACATATAATTGC